TTTTTCTACCTGATTTTTCCAATCCAGTCTTTTATCAATTACTATACCTAAGAATTTTGTGGAAACGACATTTATAATTATTTGCTGTTCATAATTTATATTAATTATTGGATGAATGTTATTAAAATTTATTAAATATGTTTTTTCTAAGTTAATAACTACATTTTTATATCTGAGCCAATCAATTATAGATACAATTGTTGTTTTAATATCATTTTTGTGATCATCAAACGTTAACGTGCCATCCGTTGTAACAATTACTGATATATCATCAGCAAATAGAACGCATTGATGTTCTGTAACATTAGGGAGGTTATTAATGTAAATCAGGAACAACAGCGGGCCCAAAACACTGCCTTGGGGAACTCCGAACTTGTTTTCCTTGAAATCAGAATTATATTTTTGTGCTACATTATAAGTATCCAACCTAGAAACTTCCACAGATTGGATCCTATTTTCTAAGTAATTTTTCATCCATTTTAAAGCTATGCCTCTAATGCCACAGTGCTCGAGATTTATTAAAAGTTGATTATGTTCTACAAAATAGAATGCCTTAGTCATATCAAAAAAGAGAGCCGTTGTATATTTGTTGTCATTTACTGATAGCAGTGTTGTATTAACTAAATCAAAAACAGCTTAAGTAGTCGATTTTTTCTTTTGAAAACCATATTGATAGGACTTTAAAATCTGGTATTTATTAAAAAATGATGTGAGTTTATCATACATAACCTTTTCATAAACTTTTGAGAAGATAGGTACTAATGTAATTGGTCGATAGTTATTTAGAATTGTTTTATTATCCCTTTTAAGTATTGGCTTAACTACAGACACTTTTAGTTTATCTGGAAATGTACCGGATACCATAGAAAGATTTATTAAATATGCCAAGATCGGACTTACTTGGTCTTTACATTCTTTTAAAACTTTAGTGCATACATTGTCATAACCTTCAGAAGTAGTATTCTTACTACTTAAAAGTTTAATACCAGGTTGACTGAGCTTCACTTGATCTTTTTTTGGTAAATGAAACCTAACTTAATCGATTTATCGCCCCTGAAAGCCATAGCCAAAAGCCAAATTTTCATGGGCGATAAGCCCATGAAAATTATTAGAGCCGTTTCCGAGATTCAGATTATCGTAGGAATTGCTATAGGATCGTGGAGGATAGAAGGGGTATTAAAAAATATATAGATGGGTCAAGAAATGTAATATATATTTCATAATAACTATAATTCCTATATTTTTTTCCTAATTTATTCAAATATTGTACTTATTGCGACAATAAACACACAAAAGTGTTTTAATTTCACGAGATCTCGAAATTGGCGAGATCTCTCGCTATCGATATTCATACATTCGTGATATCTCGCCCGACCCCGAATCTCGTGAGATTGCATTCCTATATAGCTCTTAGATATAAATAAAAAGAGTTATTGTCTTAACACCCAGCCTTTATACAAAAATTTAGGAAATAAAGCAACAAGACAGCCGATTAAAATATGACGAAGGTCTAAAAAATATTCAATTCTTAAAACCATGATAGCATCGATACACGTGAGACATGACCTTAAAATAAGGATTAAAAAGTATCACAAAAAAATAAGTAAATAAACACATGACTTCAAATATAAAAAATCTCGTCAATTTTCCTTTAACGAGAATGATGTATGTAAATTTTTTATTCAACACTTATAAGTACAAGTACCTACTCGTCATCGCTGCACAATGATTCAAATCTGTCAAGACCTGTCACTGTAAAATTGACAACTTCATTAAATGAAACATGACATTTCGTTAAGTATTTTGCACACGAGGAAAACTTTCTCGATGTAATGGTCGCTCTACACATTAGCCAACATTGCGGCGCCGAGACGGTTGGAATTGGCCAATATGTTGAAGAACAAAATTGACGAGAGATCCACCTAGGCAAACTGATGTCATTCCAAGGTGTGGCTGTGGACGCTATAACAATTCATCTTTGCCATAACAATCGCCACAATATTTGCCAATGTGTAGAGTGGGCATAAGATACGTAGTTTCAAAAGTTTGCACCGCGGGTCGATGACCGACTCGTGTCGATTTAAGCAGGGTTCATTGATAAATAAATCGGTTTTATTGCATGCAATAAAAATTTTATAGAACTAGCTAATATTTTTGGGAACATCAGCAGGTTGGACGAGTTCTCGAAAAAAGTCGGTAGTAGAATACAACAGTAAATGAATTGCTATAGGAAGGAAATAAACATTTCATTAGTGTATAATTAATTACTGATTAGCATTAATCAAACTAAAATATGGCTTTCTTAGAAATAATAAAACAAGCCATATATTTTATTTAATGAAATTACAGAAATAATATTCAAGAGAGTTTGTGCTCTACTTGTATTCAATCTGGCGGAATTTTCATAGATGCTGCCCAAAATCCAATCTGTCTAATTTTGAAGTTACCATTGTTCCCTTTGAAGTAATTACCTATTTTATATTTAGAAATATATACTTATATTATTTGGTCAACTGTATTAGATATACAATATGAAGTGTCAATCGATTGAAACCTTATGTTATTTTTAATAGACCTGCTGGGGAATTTACTATTGCAAAAAAAACATTCATCAAACAGTCGTAAATATCCCCGGAAAGATGCACAAAAAGAAAAAAAGGCTTTTTTAAAAGTTGATAAAAACTAATAATCGCTATTGACAGCAGCAGCTACATACATTGAATTAAAATAAATAATGAAACATTAAAAATAAAAATAATTTGATCCATACCCGTTTTATTATAAATTTCATACTAAATAAATACATAGATAATTCCTTTTACATTAAATAAATAACATAATGTCTATTGATTTACTTTGAGGTACAGACAATTATTACGAAGTCTTATTTATGATGAAAATAAGTACCTACTTTCTAATTTTCTTTTTAAGGGAGTTGTATCATTTGTTGTGAAAAATCACCTACGGGAATCTACATCATATATAGGTTACATAGGCCATAATATACGTGGGCGTAGTCGCAAGTAAAATGGTGACCTCCTAATATTTTTCATATATTCAATGGTTAATTAATATTTATTTATTAAATTAAATTTAATAAAGTAAAGTAGCTCGGTAGCGTAGTGGTTAAGCACGGTGTTAGGCAACTTTCCCAAGAGTCGGTCACGGGATAGGTGGCCAAAAAATTATTATGTCGAGCCACTTCGTGCTTTGGAAGGCATGTAAAGCCGTTGGTCCCAGCTGCATTTGCAGTCGATAAAACCCTCCATATCGCATTGGGCCAGCGTGGGGGGTCATGGCCCATCCTCCTTAACCATCCACAAGGAAAGCCTGAGCAGTGGGGATGTAAACAGGCTGATAATGATGATGATGAAGTTAAATTTATTTTTTAAACTATCAAACTAATATTTAAATAATGGGTCCAATCATGACCCAGTCCAATCACATATAACTGCTCCTATCTAAAATAATTTTGAAAATTCGTTATACACGCTATTCAGTACAACCATGTTCCGATAATGCTAGAACCATAGATAAAAAATCTCGCATATGGGTACCCAATATCAATTTAACTAATCTAGTAATGACATAGAAAATTTGCTGTGACATAAACACGGACAAACAGATAGTATAAAGGACAGCTTTTTCATTTTCTAAGGAACCCTAAAAATATTAAAATTACAATTAATTATTTAATTAAATATAATGTTATATTTTATCTTATTACTAAACGTGTCAATGTTAGATTTTAGTGGTTTTAACAATAAGTTACTGCGGGTATAGCCATAAAAAAGTTGGAAACACTGATCGATATCGCTCTTAAATTAATTAATTACTTTTTATATGTTCTAATCATAGCTATTCAATTAAAACCCATATAAAATTATAATCCCGCACAATCGTAAAAGTAGTCGTGAGGAATAAGTTTGTATATCCAGAGAGCTGTGAGTGTTCGTCAAATGAATCAATTTAACTCCGACAAAGTCCATCACTAGTGATTCCTAAAAAGTTTTAATAACGTATTCAACCTTATGCATTTATAACTATTACTAATTTAAATAGTAGCTAGCCCTTATTCACATACAACAAGTAAAAGTTAAAAATAAACATTTCTTTTATTTGGTGTTTTGTATTCAACAAGTTTAACTCTTTTTAAGCTGATTAAGCCGATATCTGAGAGAATGAAGATACTACAAATCAGAGATAATATAGGTAAGTTCAATGAGGAATCGAACCCGTGGCTTTAAGAGATGTTAACACCTTGAAACTGGCGTACGAACCACTCGACTGCGAAGGCCGTCAAGGTCTTTATGAGTACAAATATTATAAAACTCTACTAGTATATTATTGTATATAGTTACATAAAAGCATATCATTTTATCAAACTAATTAATAAAATTACAAAATATTTATCAAACGATATGACTCTTAGTTGTGCACTTATTACTTTATTTCAAAGTATTATATTCCTTAATTTATTTTCTCATTAATAATATAGAAGGTGTAGACGCTGCATTAGAAACACAACAGGTACGCCTACACATAATATGCAAACGTGAACCTCATTTCCCTAGATCGAATTTTAGATACGACATGTTCGCTTTGCTTTCCGATCAATAAACCTACCACAGCACATTTAAAAACGAAAATTCAGTTAATTTATAGTAGATTATAGTAGATTATATTATTAGCGTTTCAGGGTCATAGTATTTCAACCAAAGAAGCTTTTTCAACTTATGGTGAGCCAATTAAAAAAAAAGAATGTGTTGATTTTATGTAGGATTTTTTATTTAACCGCCCACCTTCAATAAAACTTTCATATTTTGAACTCAGTTTTATTTATTTTTTAGTTATAATATTATTAATTGTAGTGGTATATTACTACATAACTATAAATGATACAAACAACAAAAATCAAAGGAAAACAAATAACGTTATTTTATTTACTTCGAATACTGATTTTGAAATTCTTTAGGTACAACAAAGCAGCGGAGAGATGGATGTTAAATAACCCAGGAAAGCCAATAACAATATACGATATTGCTGAAATAGTTGGTGAAGCGTATCCACTTGCTTTTACTCCAAGAAATATTAGTAAAAGTTTTGAAGTCACGGGCATATACCCGTTCAATAGGGATATATTCAGCGAAGAGGATTTCCTATGCTCATATGTAACTGATCGTCCGGAGCCTACGTCTGCAGTTTCTGAAAGTTCAACGCAAAATATATTTCAGTCTGAAGAATCAGGAACCAACCCGAATAGTGACAGCGAAACCCAACGAAAGCCTAATGAAGATCAAGTGGAGCCTGTTGCTGGGTCTACTGTATTTCGACAAATAAATCATGGTCATGGTGCTATAGGAATTCAGCCAAATAGGTCTGGTGGTCAATCTGAAATGTCAGTATTTGATGAATTCGCTGATGTTGCTGGACCAAATAAAGAAAATGCAGAAATCACTCCTCGCAAACAGCTTATTTCACAAGTAACTCCTGAATCAATCCGCCCATTTTCAAAAGCAGCCCCTCGAAAAACAAACCAAAGGGGAAGGAAACCTGGTAAAAGCAGAATATTAACTGACACACCCGAAAAAAATTAAATAAGAGACGAAGCTTGCAGAAAAGCAGAAAATAAAAGGAAAAAAGAGGAAAGAAAAGAAATAAAAAACATGGCAAAAAAGACAAAGGGCTCCTCAGAAATGCTACCAAAGCTGGTCCTAGCCAGACGAAAAGCCTAGCTGGTCCTAGCCAGACGAAAAGCCTAGCTGGTCCTAGCCAGGCGAAGAGCCTAGCTACTGATAATAGGATCAGAATTATTGAACAACGTCAGTTACCCTATGCCATGTGTATGGGTTGTAAAAAACATGAAAAACTAAACAAAATGCTGAATTGTTCGTTATGCGACTTAAAATATCATAAGAAATGTGTACCTAGAGCACACATGGACATTTACGATTCTGATGATGAGTCGGATTTTGTGTGTTTCACGTGTTATGTTGTAGATGATAATGACGATTCAGATGTCTCCGATAGTTCCACCTTAGAACTTTATGAACTGTATCGCGATGCCAAAAAAACAAATTAATATATTATTGTTTACTCTTAGATTTCTTTTATAATTATATTTTATTTCGTTATTGTTGATTTTGCTAGAATTATTATTTGAGAAAAAGTGGCCTCTCCACAGGTACATTGCCGTACATAGGTACATGTAGTGCTGTCCACAGGTACAATGACATGTTGCACCTGTCACAAAAGTAGCGTTTTAAAAAAATGTGATTTAGATTAATAATTAAGATACCTATAAGAGCAAAGACTTCTAAATGTTAAGCGTTGACTTATTGTAAAACAATTTTTAGTACTACTCTTTGGCTAATAAAAAAAATTAAGTCACAGACCTCATTTTAATTAAAAATCCGGAAAATGTCCACAGGTATAACACATTCCCCTATATTATTTTGATTAAACTGATAATAATGAAAATTGTACTAAACTTAACAGTTAATATGAATGCATAAGGTTGAATGCGTTATTAAAACTTTTTAGTTATCGTATACATACTTAAGTTTCAGGTTTATTAAATAAAACTATTTCAGGCACAGATGCCAGTCAATTGTGAAATTGATTACAAAAAATGTAAATTATTTCTAAAATAAATATATGTGTTGTTTTAAAAAAAATCCATAATGATTAAAGCATGGTGCCTCAAGCTACTAACAAGGGCATCTAAACCGAACTTTTTTAAAAACCGGTTATTTACGGTTAACCCTATTTTAAAAACCGGTTATTTCGGTTTAAAACCTAAAATAAAAGGGTTAATGGGTAAACTGCAAAGACTTATAATTAAATTCGGTTTATTTAAATGAAATCGGTGGATATTTGTAACATAAAGGACCTTTTATTTCATCGTCATTTCGTTTCTGGGATCGGCTTCGAACAATTATCTTCTGTAAATTTTGACGCCAATATTATTTCTTACTCTGAAACTGTCAGAAACCTTGGAGTTGTATATAATAAACAGTTCTCTCGAACAACCTAGGAAGCAATCAGAAAGAAGGTTTTCGATGCGTCTCAGACGCAAGCCTAATTTCCTACCGACTAGCACTAAAATTACCTTGGTGAACTCTCTTTTATATTCAAAGTTAGCTTAGCTCGGTGGCGTTGTGGATAAGCGCCGCGGTCCGCGATCGTTGTCGTTAAGCAACTTTCGCAAGGGTCGGTCACGGGATGGGTGACCAAAAATTTATTATCTCGAGCTACTCCGTACTTCGGAAGGCACGGCTGCATTTGCAGTCGTTAATACCCTCCAATCCGCATTGGGCCAGCGTGAAGGGTCATGGCCCATCCTCCTTAACCATCTATAAAGAAGGCCTGAGCCCTTGCAGTGGATACGTAAAAGGGATGATGATGATGATGACTCTCTTTTATTATTTTTTATTCATTACGCTGACGTATGTTATACAAATCTATCGAAGGAATATATCAATACTCTTGAGCATCTACAGAATGTTTGCATTAGGTTGATTTTCGATCTCCGTAAATTTGACCACGTGTTACACTTCCATTGTAATAGTTACAATATAGCTCCATTTTCGCCGGCGCAGGGACTTGCATGTTCTGACAGCTCTATCTATATTCTTCCCTTCCTCTTTTCCACGTTATCTCAAGGAATGCTGCACTTTTCGCTTTTCGGCCTCTCTTTGTTTCTTGCCTCTTCCTCTTCAAATCTCACTCTTGAGATACCTCGCCATTCGAAATTTGTTACACTTAATTTAACGTTAATTTCTTTCTTTATTTTAAAACTGTTATTTGACTGTTTCATGTTTTTCAATATTTATATCTTAAGATGTATCACCATGTATTTATCTATTTATCCTTCCGAACATTAAAAAAAAAATTATTTAAAAATAGAAAAAAACGTATTTTAATATCCTGTTTGAGTGAACTATATTTATATTCTGAAAAATACTATATTTTGCAGAAGAAATATTGGCAGCCCTAGTGTTGACTAGCGTTCCCCTACTAAATTCTACTTATAAATATTTCCTTATATTGTGATAAAAATTGGTAATCAAGTAATTTATAACAAAATAAAATATTTTTAACCTTCTATTAATAAAATGTTTAAGTGCGTGTCATTTTATTTCCAAAAGAAAAATTCTGTTTATATATTTTGAACTATACTAGATGGCGTTACGTATATTTTACATCGCGCTGTTTTGGTCAATGTTATGTTTTAAAATTAAATGAAATAAGAACATTAAGCTTGCTGTACTAGATGGAGTAAAATGTACTCACACTGCGTTATCGTTTGGTTCAGCGAATTTTGCACAGATTTCAATTTTCGATTAAGTTATGTCTAAACTTCAGATTTGTGTTTTTCTTTCATCTGTATTTCAAATTGGGTAAATATAGCTTTATGTTGTTGTTGGTGACCTGCTATGCAAACCTTTATGGCTTGTTTATTTTCTAAATTCTCAGTTTTTAAATAAATGCCATTCATACTTTTAGACTTACGAAAACAAATGTAAGACTTCAGTGAGAATACTAATATACGGCTGTGACGGTGTGTTTTCGTGGTTTCCTTTCAAATTACCTGGTAGCCGAATCTCTAGTCGAATCTTTTAGTTGTATTGTGGTGTCTTCGAAGTTAATCAAGATAATTTCATTTTAATATCACGGGTACTTATTCATAATTCAATAAAATTGTAAATATAGAAGTAGCTTCGCGGCGCAGTGAACAAGTGTCAAGGCCTGCGATCGTCGCTAACTGCTTTCGCAAGAGTCGGTCATGGGATGGGTAACCAAACAATTATTATCTCGAGATACTCCGTGCGCCAAAAGGCACACGAACCAATCCGTATTGGGTCAGCGTGAAAGGTTTTGGGCCATCTTCCTTAACCTAACCTTCTAAGAAAGGTCCGTAAGGACATAAAACGGGCTGATTATAACGAATAATTTAATCAAAATAATAATTGTGTTTTGTGACCAGTTACTTGCGGACCTTGTATAGCCGTAGGTACTGTAGAAAGACTTTAGCCGAGCAAATTAATGACATTATTCAATAATAGGGCTAGCCGCCCGATAGGATGGATGTATCATTTGGCTACGACACATACTTGTACAATAATTTAATCTCTAAATCTCCTGACTTAAAACTCGAAAGAAGAAAAAAATAGCTGTAAGATTAAAAGTCGACTGCGCAAATGATTAAGGACAACTATTAAGCTCTCATGTCTAAACCAATGAACCGAGTTGACCTTAAGATAGGACATAAGTTATTTTTATTGTGATAAATAGGTTGAAATAGGAAATGAAAGTTTCTACGGAAGTTCGTCATTGTCAAATATAAAAATCATAAAACTTTATACTCAAGCAGTTACACCATATAATAAACAAATATTTGTTTTAGTCTGCTACCCCTAACTAACTTTCCCAAGCGGGCGAATTCACGGGCGAAACTTAGTATAAAATAAACCAATATCCAGAAATCTTTTTCAATATCAAATGCAATATATATGTATAATTTATTATAAAGGTTTTAGATTCTGAACTTGCATAGACGAAAGTTAAAACAATAGTGCATACACATTGCAGGTTGCATCTTACGATTGCGCGGATTTCACCCGCTTTCTAGTACTTTCACTTCCGAAAGGCGAGACAGACAGACGAAACTACTCGAACTATTTATCGGAACCGTGACTCAGTCGCGTTTAGAGGCTAGTCAGAAAGAAAATCCTAGTGTGAGTAAGCGAAAGTAAGTTTTATGGTTGCGGTCCAAGGTATAAGATGATTATAAAGATATGCGTCACGTATAGAAACTATTTGCGCACATACAATTTACATTTCATGCACTATTCTATACCAATGAATTTATGTTGAGCACAATCATTCATTAACAAGCTTACTTATATGAAGCTTGGGTTAACTTAATTTTAAAGTTTGTTACTTCTTTTTATAGGTGAAACAAATAGTTAATGTTTACGGAGGCGTATAGAAAAACATTAGACGAGTCAGATCATCATCATCACCATCAGACCTGTTACGTCCCCACCATGGAGGCCCAGGCCTTCCTTATGGATGGTTAAGGAGAAAGGACCGTGAACCTCCACGCTGGCCCAATGCGGATTGGAGGGTATTAACGACTGCAAATGAAAACGGGACCAACGGCTTAACGTACACTTCCGAAGCTTTATTGGTCACCGAGTTATCTGACGAATCAGATAATTGTCTTCATTAGCAAATTGCCAGATAAATAAATTTACAATAAATATTTATTATTTATTGTAAAGATCATGTCTTTACATTAAATAATAAATAGATAAACACTAGACAATATCATAAAGTACATCGCTCAGATACCAAGATGAGTAAGGCCTCGTATTGTGGAATATCTGAGACAAGGCAGGTACCACAACACCCAAACCCGAAACAATAGAGAAAAGTTAATTTTCTTTATTGGCTCGCCAGGGAACCCGGGATATAAGTGAGGGCAGCATATCGAAACCCCTGTATGAAACTATATAGGCCACAGGACCACATCATTCTGGTCACTATTTGAAAGAATGAGGTGTATGAGATAAATAATAATGCACCATTT